CTTGCAGCCGCCATTGGTTCATAATCAAAACTAATCAACTTTGAGGACCAATCTTGACCTAGTTCAGCGTTCAATACTTTATTCAGTTGGCTCCTAGGCATTACATCTGCACCTTGGCGTACAATATCCAGAGCAGCCAGGATCTTTGGGGCAAGACAGAAAGATGATAGCAACATATTTAATTTATGGATATGCATGAGAATCTTGGATATTAAAAGAAAAATGATGCTAAATTAGACAAAATTATTGTTGCCAAACAGATAACCATGTTCAATACTTAATGCCTGAACTGTAGACCCTTTAATCATGCTACAGACCACACAAGCAAAATCAATGGTGAATGTGCATTTTGAGTGGCTGGAATATAGGACAATACTAATTTTATTTTATTTTCTAAAACTAAATTTAAAAATAAATAAATAAAACATGATATCGAAGTTGGCTAGAAATTAACTACAATCATTTGAATTCATCAAGCCTGTACAAAAGAAACAACCGAAGAGATTAAATATAATACCGGAGCTGGGACGAGAGATTCATCTTGTATGCTCAACATCTGCCCAATTTTCAAAGCAGCTCCACGCATTCTACACAAAGCAAGAGCCAAACGTTCTGCATTCTTTTCGGATAGGAATGGGGAAAGGGCAGGAGGTTGGTTCGGCAAATTTTCTGGGCCAAAAACAAGCCTCTTGGCTGATTCCTGCAGCGTTCCCCAAGCGAGACTAGCTCCTAGTCCGGCAAACCTATTGAGTGTGGTGATGATCGAGTTGTATTGAGTTTAACACGAATTTTCCATTGTTCAACTTCTCAAATAACAAATGAATTATTGACACTCCCTAGAGAGTTAATATATCGAGTAAATTTTGTAAATGATATCAAGAGGTTAGAAGAAACTAAACTTGCATAAAATGTAGCAGAATTTGGATAAGAGAAATAGCATACCCGACCGCTCTGGTGAAGGGCGTGGAGGGTACTCTTCTCTCCCGGGGCTTACGTCGTTTGAAAGGTGGGGCTACTTCCACTTGCCCGCTCTGGGCTTCTCCTACTCGTGTTCCATTGGATCTAGTAGAAGAGGCATTGTTCGATATGTCCCCGCATTGGGTTCCGATTGACGATTTGTTGTCTTTGTGTTCATTTTCGGAAAGAGCTGAAACATCTGAAATGCTTGCCTGAGTGTGGCCAACCTCAAGATCGGAGACTGCTGGATTGTCAATATCATTCGCTTGAACTGGATGAGAAAAATAGGCGACAGAATCGTCTTTGAGGCGGCGATCTGCACTTGAAATTTGGCGAACTGTGCCTCTAGTGAGACCGGAAATGTCGGTGACAGAAACAACAAGCTTTTTGACAGGTATAGAAATAAGTGTTTCAAAGTTCCCAATTCTGGGGATTTCCAAGACATGAGAGCGTTTAAGCAGTTCCTTTGCGACTAACGAAACCCCATCGAGAAGCCTGCTAGCTTCTCTAGACGTATTCATCGGCCTTCTCTAAATTGTTCTTACAATCTCTAGGTTGTCTCCGTAACACGCAGATTGTATGGCATGGATCTGTGCATCTGGAGAAGATACAATTCCGCAAATCTGGCGATTGGAAAAAAAACAAGTAGGTAACCTCTGTTCTTGGAGGATTTAGAAAGGAAATTCGAATTCAAGTTGCGATTTCGTTAGAAGAACCAAAACATTTCGTTCCAAAAATGAAAAGAATGTATGAATGAAGAAATTAAAATTAAAATACTCGTAATGTAATTGAAATAAAATTTGGAAACAAAAATTTGCTTATTACCTTACGTGTGGTTATTTCGTGTTTCTTCAAAGAAAATGACCATTGATTTCTGATGGAAAAAGAGAGAAAACATGAACTCTCATATTTTTGTTTCAATTTCAAATGATGCATTTTATTCCAAAGATATGATCTTTGAAAGTATTGGAATATGGGTTTTTTGTTCCTTCACCACGCCTAACACCATGTGGTTGTTTTTTTACCATAAATTATTGTGGCTAATGCATTAGAGAGAGAGAGAAAAGAATTTTTTTCTTTTTTCATGTTTGAATATCGAAGTCCTTTTCCTCCATCAGATTAGATTTCATGTGTGTTCCTGAAGATCATCGTTATTTGAAGATGAACGATCACCATTTGTTTTGTGGCTCGTTTCCTTGTCAATTCGTCTTCCATCTTGAGCCTCATCGCTCGTGTTCTTAGGAATAGTTTTGTCTCACAATCATTGAATGGAATATGAGCTCAATTGCTTTGAAGGGCTAATAAGTTCCTTTCCCACCCTTGAATTGATATTGAATTTTTTTTTTTTTTCGTCTCTAAAATCCACCCTTTTTCATATGATCTATTATTTGAGGGAGTTTAGCATTATCGTCCATCATCAGAAACATCTTTGCCATCGTTAGTCCACCATTGGAAGACTATCACTATCGTTGTGCTTCGCCAGAAGAAAAATAGGAACCCTCCGTCAAAAAATCAATCATATATTTCATAAGAAAAGCGTTTCAACCCAAAGAATCCATATATGACTAGAGACATGCTTTCCTCTGTGACAATCCACATCCCTCCATGCACCCTCTCTTGACCCAACATCTCACGTACCTGAAAAATGGAAGATATAACAAAGATGACTATAAAATTATACTCAGTAAGCCACTTACTTGCAGGCTATTATCACATCCTAATCTTAACAAACTTCTACGGTCTTTTCTTTGGCTCTAGAACATCTAGTTCTAGTCTTAGCTCCTTGGGGCTTCTTTGGTTCTTTGTCCTTTCATTTGAACCTTAAGAGTTCATTAGCCAACTTGTGTTTGACTGGTGCCTTGCGAGTAGCTACCTCGGCATGGCTATGAGACTACCTGATGTCTTACCTAGGAAGTGAGTTGCAACCCCCTAGTCCTATGGTAATCCCCTTGTTTTGGGGAGGGCTACCTCCCCCTATCCCATCCAGCTAAATGATCAGTTACGACGTGGGTCTCCCATTCCCCATCCTAAAATGGCTATAGAGCAGTCGAGTTCTTATTAGGAACCCGCTGGTCTCCCACGAAGCTATAACACCAATCACACACAAGTAACCTAAGGGTGTGAAAGTTACGACGTTGGTATGTTGTTAATGGTCAGTTATCTATTGAGAATGTTTGTTTGTTTAATGATCAGATACGACGTTGGTATGTTGTTAATGCCTAGTGAGAATGTTTGTTTAATCCACCACACTTAAATGGTGTGAAAGATATATATTTATAATCAGATAAATTACAAGGATACGGAAAAGGCAAATATTTAGATATATGCCTTTTAATAAAATATCAAATATGATATATATGGTAAACTATAATTTAGTACCAAATATCCTTAACACCCCTGCAAGCTGAGCGTTGGATTTGAACAAATCTTGGATTTGAAAAATTCAAAGTGAGGTTGAGAAACACTTTTCGTGAATATGTCAACAACCTTGTTCGAAGGAGGCGTAGAGAAACACTTTCTTGGCCATCGAAAACTACAGAGGAATTGTCGCTCAGCAACGATGCTGCCTTGGCTCCGGTGAGAATATGTCAACCCAAGAAGTAGAAGGGGAAACCTAGAGCAAGGGATAAAGACCATGTTGAAGCCAGAAGAGTCGCCACAGTCAGTGAAGGAGCCAATTTTGGTTAGAAGGGCGGCGGTAACTTGGTTGGCGAAGAGGCCAGTGCGGCGCCCAGATTCCAAAGGTAAATCTACGTAGAAGATTGATGGGCTTATCAAGATTCCGTATATTTTCGAAGAGAACGTTGATAAAGATCCTAAGATTAGGGTTTCTCTGAAGGATGAAGAGTTGATTGGGAAGAAAATGAGAGATGCTATGTTGGCTAAGGAAAAGCCGATTGGGTTGGAAAAGGTGAGGTTGTATGTACAAAGGATGACAAATGGTGATTTGGAGGTCAATAGGGTAGAGCCGAAAAATAATCAATCGGCTCTACCTGCGGCAGCTATGGTGACTGCCTCTGCGGCATCAAAGCCAGCAGTGGTGGTGAAGAAGAATAGTAGAGGATTTAGAAGCCATTGAAAAGAAAGGATCTGAGTTGTTGACTTAAAAGGGGCTCTGATATGATTAGAATGGTTGTTTGATGTGAAAATTATCTATTTATAATCAAATAAATTACAAACATATAAAAAAAGAAAATATCTAGATATTTGATTTATATTTTTTTTTGGAGGCAGGTTTACAGGGAAGTATAAGTGTTTTTTTTTTTTTTAATTTATTATTTTTCCATTGTGGTTCAAAAAGGAGAAAAAGTAAGAAAATTATTATTTGCTTCATGATTTATTAATTATTGCTGGATTATTATTTCATGCATTAATTTGTAAGAGACTTAACTTTAGAGTGAAAATTTTAAGTTAGTTTTGTTTGTCTTTCCGGCTTTAATTTCAAATTAATTAATTAATATTTTGATGGTGCGCTTTTAAATAATTCAAATCGAAATTAAAATGAAAAAGTTATAACCAAAATAATCGATTAATCGATGACCTAACAGCTTAATAGTGCATCGTAAACAAAAGCAAGTTACAATTTTATATTATTATTAATTTCTTTTAATCTCCAAACTCTCTTTTATTTTTGATTGTTAAAATAAAATTCTGATTTAAAACTCATTTTCTTTGACAAAATATTTTACAATTTTAAATCTTCCAAAATTTAAAAATCATAACTATAATTATTATCTCCAGCCAAACTTTCATTTTTTTTTTATTTTTTTAATTTTGATACAATTATAATGTATCTTATTTAATTTTAAAATTATTATAACAATGGGTTACTATTCAAAATTATTCAAAATTATTTATTGTTTTGATAGAATTATTTTTTCATATTTATATTCATCAAACTTGTTCTAAATTATTTTTAAAATTTATTGACAATTGTTTTTGTGAGCATATTTAAGAATATTTTTGTAAAAAACTATGTGCACTACTTAGCATACCGATTCAACGTATTAAACCTTCAAGACAATCATTAAAATTGGGAACGACTTACCTTCTACAATACAAACCCTAATCCAGTTCAAACAACCAATTTTTGTTTGAATGTTTGAATGTTTGAATGTTTGAATGTTTGAATGTTTGATTAAATTAGAGAGAATTTAAAGAGCCATCTATCAATTCAATTATTGAGATGCGTGGGCTGTGACGATGTGGCTTCATTCAATAATATTTCCAGGACGCAAGATCAGAATAATTGAGTGACCGTGGCGGTTCGCGGCGGGTAGGCCACTAGCCAGGAGAGGAGGCGAAGGTTAACTCCCATTGGAACCTTGATATTTGTCATTTCCTGACTCTCGTCTCTATCTTCGCCTCGTTTTGCTAAATCCACCATTACCATTTCCAACACTGCGCATTTCTTGCTGCCTTCGGTTTGAAGGTAGCATAGGGAGGAATAGCTGCGGCGGAGGCAAGTCGAGGTTATCGAGGACTTGGTGGAGATATGGAGCAAGAAGATCGGATTGAAGAAGATTGCTCCAGGTTGCTGCGGAGGAATAGCGTTACTGGTAGTAGTAACGATTACAGGTGGGTTGATGGCAGTGAAGTGGACTCCGAGTCGCCTCCATGGTCGCTGTTTGAAGAAAGAGAAAGCGGAGATGGATATGGATCTATGAGAAGGAGATTGGTTAAGAAGCCCAAGAGAGTCGATTCTTTTGATGTTGAAGCTATGGAGATTGCCGGTGCCAACTATCACCATTTAAAGGTATATCTTCTTTCTACCCTTCCAATCCACTTCTCTTACTTGCTCCTGTGAATAAATAGAGCATCTAGTTTTTTGGTTCTTCTTTGGCCGCCACGAAGATAATCGACATATTAAGATCAAATTACCGAGAAACTGTATATATTCATTGCTTTCTTCTTTTAGTTTTGTTAAAAATATCGTTTTAAGACTATGTTCATTAGAAGCTGTGGAGATTTGTGAACTTACTTGGTGCTAAACAGTGCAAACAACAATAGCTCTGAATCGTCCACCTGGATTGAGTGATAGCAAAATAACCTGTATGTGAATAAACTGTACTGTAGCAGAAAGTAAAAACAAAAAAGATGGAAATAAGCTAAAGCTCTTCAACTGAATTGTTTTGTGTTGAATCAGGATGCTTCCATTTGGCAAACTATTGCTATAGCATTTCAAACACTTGGTGTTGTATATGGTGACATGGGTACAAGTCCATTATACGTCTTTGCTGATGTATTCAGCAAGGTGCATATTGAGGCAGATGTTGACGTCCTGGGGGCTCTATCCTTGGTGATTTACACAATTGCTCTTATTCCGTTGGCAAAATACGTTTTTGTAGTGCTCAAAGCCAACGACAATGGTGAAGGTATGAGCTCAGCAATAGTTTTGTTCCCCTTCCTATATTTCCTTATCATAACTTATTTTCTTCATTGTAGGAGGAACATTTGCATTGTATTCACTGATTTGTAGGTACGCCAAAGTTAACATGCTGCCAAACCGTCAGCCAGCTGATGAACATATCTCAAGTTTTAAGCTCAAACTACCAACTCCAGAGTTGGAAAGGGCCTTAAATATCAAAGAAACTCTCGAGAAGAGATCATCCTTGAAAACTCTTATATTGCTGCTGGTTCTGATGGGCACTTCAATGATTATTGGGGATGGTATTCTAACCCCAGCAATATCAGGTCTTCGATGATTGCCATCTCTTTTTTCCTTCCCATAATAAACCAAAAAATTATTTGTATATCAAAAGATACATAATAAACCATTAGAGGAGAATTTTTTTTTTTTTTTTTTTATTATAAAAAAACATCCTGTCTTATTCATGTGTTGACTAGGAAAAAGTCTCGTGCATGAATCGAAGAAATCTTTTACAATCTCACACAACTAAGAAGTTGATTAGATGTTTACCTTCCATGGTTTTATTATGGTTTTAGCTCTATTGCATGTTATTAATTTTTTTTTGTGTAAAAATAATGTTGAGTATGTAAAGACCTGGTCAAATTCTAGACTCTTGAGGATGCTAAGATCACCCCTTAGGGCTTTAGAATAAGGTGAGTTTAATGTTCTCTGTCACCCTGTCATTCAAAATTTCTCTGGTTAGTAAGTTCTAAAATTACGAAGAAGCTGTAATTATTAAGTTCTAAAATTGCGAAGAAGCTGTAAAAAAACAAACAAGCAATGGTATTATCATGAGAAAAGCATATACAATGTTCGAACTTTGGTGTGAAGAGATTAGAGAAGTGTCCCCTGACCAAACATCTTCCATAATCATCTAGTCCTTTCCTCATTGTGGATTCGGCAAGTGTTTGGAGCTATGGATTTTTTTTTTGATTTGGATCTAAAACTGACTGCTTCCTCCATCCCATAGTTGCAACAAATGAGTGCCACATTTACAAAAAAGAGTCATATTCTTCAATCAGATGCTTTCAGTAACTAGCCACCAAGATCCTTTAAATCTGAGATTACCCTCTGGTTCAACAAATGAGAGCCTCCTTTTGAATCATCATACCCCTTCCTTCATAAAGCTTTAATGTCCATTTCCAAAAATGTTGCAATTTTGGCTTGAATTATGGGAAGAGCTAGAAGATGGTGATAAGTATTTCCTTATTATTAAGTAAACTTTGTTTCACCTTTTTAATTGGACATAAGATCTACATTCCATTATCATTAATTAACTGGCATTGAAAGGTACTAAACTGTAATCTTTTTAAAATTCTTTTAACTTTGTACTGCAGTGATGTCTGCTGTGAGTGGTCTGCAGGGACAGATAAAGTCATTCGATACAAGTTGGTACCTTTCCTTTCTTTCTTATTCATGTATTATTACTGCTCATTAAAATTTTGTTTGGCATGGCTCAAATGAACTATTGAATTTTGATTTGATGTCGATTAGAGTCAATCTAAAGAAATATGTGGCTAGAATGCAAAAGGGTTCTTCTGCTTATTGAATTTTCACTCTACATTATAGACGTTTAATTATGTCCTCGTAATTTCTCTTGTTTGCAGATGCTGTGGTCGTTGTTTCAATTATAATCCTTGTGGCCTTGTTCAGCATACAGAAATTTGGGACGGGGAAAGTAGGATTTATGTTTGCTCCTGTGCTTGCTTTGTGGTTTTTTAGCCTGGGATCTATTGGAATTTACAATTTAGTGAAGTATGATCTCACCGTTATAAGGGCTCTCAATCCCGCTTACATCTATTTATTCTTCAAGAAAAATTCAAATAACGCATGGTCAGCTCTTGGTGGTTGTGTTTTGTGCGTAACAGGTATGACTTGCCTTCTTCTACCCTCATGTTATCCATCGACTTTTAGTCTGCTCTTGTTTTTAATGTGTTATCTTCATATGGGGTTCTTTTTTCTTTTTATGCTACATACTGTTAATTTATAATCTATTCAATGATGAAGTTGAACTAGAAAAATATAGAGATGGCTCATCTTAACAGATGTAAAACGTTTTATAATGTCATTTTAGGAGCTGAAGCAATGTTTGCTGATCTAGGCCATTTCACTGTGCCAGCCATACAGGTAAACCATAACCACTCAACCACCTCCCCCCCCCGCCAAAAAAAAAAAAAAAAAAAAAAAGATACCACCCTACATAAGCGCACAAAAGAAACGAGTAAAGATAAAGAAACTGCTGAATTTTTCCCTTTGAAAGATTGCGTAATGAATCTGTATTGCTAAAAGCAACTTAAGTTTACGTACATTTTGGACAGATTGCCTTCACTTGTGTTGTTTTCCCCTGCCTTCTCTTGGCGTACATGGGTCAGGCTGCATATCTCATGAAACATCCAGATTCTGCAGAAAGAATATTTTATGATTCTGTGCCAGGTGAAAATTGTCAATGTGGAAGCATTCATTTACTTCAGTCCATTTATTTGGCTTCGTTTTTGGCAAGTTCTCGTTTTAACTAGCCTGCTTTGGTCTCCTTGGTTTCTGAACAAACAGCAAGTCTTTTTTGGCCAGTCTTTGTGACAGCAGCACTTGCTGCTATGATTGCGAGCCAAGCAATGATATCTGCAACCTTTTCTTGTGTCAAACAATCTATGGCTCTTGGATGTTTTCCGAGAATGAAGATAATTCACACATCTAAGAGACGAATGGGTCAAATTTACATCCCTATGATCAATTGGTTTTTGATGATAATGTGCATACTTGTTGTTGCAATATTTCGAAGGACTACAGACATCGCCAATGCTTATGGTTAGGTTCCTTCCTCCCTTTTTTTTCTCTTATGGTTAGGTCCCTTTTTTTTTTTCTCTTAGGACTACAGACATCGCAATGCTTATATATTCTGTATGAAGCACTACATACGCTTTGCATTTTTGTTGGAGGTGAATGCTATATTATAATCTGTTATCAACCCACGCCCTTGATTGCTCACAAGCAAGACTTTATGTTAAGCCTCCAACAACCAGAACTTCTGTAAGGAGGGGAAAAATGGGAAACAAATTTCGAGTGAGTTAGAGGAAAGCAAGGCAAGTGTGGCGAGATTTATTGACTAAGTATTCAGATGTCGAGAGTTGGACCTCATTGATAATCTACGTTGTGAGGTAGCTTGTAGTAGGGGCATTTCAATGAATTTTATCATCGGTTGGGATTTACGTCTAACACATTATTGATGATTACAAAACTTCGAACACTTCTGATAAATGTACACGGGAAATTTTATTTGTTGTTGATCCATGATGGCACTATATATTTTGTATGAAATTCTTATTCTTCCATTACCCATGGACAAATGATTCCTTCATCTTGTAGAGATCTACTGTTTTTTAAACACAATATATATATTTTTTCTGTTTGTATTTGTGATTCCACTTGATTTCAATGCTAATAATTACTTCCTGTTATAGGTATTGCTGAAGTTGGTGTGATGCTGGTGAGTACTGCTCTGGTGACCCTAGTAATGCTTCTGATCTGGCAGACAAATTTGTTTCTTGCGTTATGTTTCCCACTTGTATTTGGATCAGTGGAACTTATCTACTTATCTGCAGTTTTATCAAAAATCAGAGAAGGTGGGTGGTTGCCACTTGCTTTTGCTTCCGTTTTCCTCTCTGTGATGTACATATGGAACTATGGGAGTGTGTTGAAGTATCAAAGTGAGGTGAGAGAGAAGATATCAACGGATTTCTTGTTTGAACTGGGATCTACCCTCGGAACTGTAAGAGTTCCAGGAATTGGTCTCCTCTACAACGAGCTTGTCCAAGGCATTCCAGCAATTTTTGGGCAATTTCTTCTCACCCTTCCAGCCATCCACTCCACAATTGTGTTCGTGTGTATTAAATATGTTCCAATACCCGTGGTTCCGCAAGAGGAAAGATTTTTGTTCAGAAGGGTTGGTCCAAAAGACTACCATATATTTCGTTGCATCGCGAGATATGGCTACAAGGATGTGCGGAAGGAAGATCACCATGCATTTGAGCAGCTTCTGATGGAAAGCCTCGAGAAGTTCTTAAGAAAGGAGTCTGGCGAACTTGCCCTGGAGAGCAATTTGAATGAGCTGGAATTTGATAATATTTCAGAGAGGTTGAGGGATTCTTCTCCAACCCCAGGTGGCATTGATGTGAATGAGGAGCTGAGAATTCCATTGATGGAAGAGGCAAGAACTACAAGCTCCGAAGAATCTCTTGGGGCGCGGTTGCCATCCAGCATCATGGCATCGGGTGACGACCCTAGTTTGGAGTATGAGCTATCAGCCCTTAGGGAAGCCATGGATTCAGGATTTACATATCTACTGGCACAAGGGGATGTCCGAGCAAAGAAAAACTCATTTTTTATTAAGAAGCTTGTTATAAACTATTTCTATGCGTTCCTAAGGAGGAACTGCAGGGGCGGTGCAGCAACAATGCGAGTTCCTCACATGAACATCATGCAAGTTGGGATGACTTACATGGTTTGAGGAGACATTAGTATTATTATTATTATTATTCTAAATCTCCACAGTCTGCTCAGGAACAACTCCTGACTTGGAAAATATTTACAGATGGTTAGGCTGAATAAAAAAGTATGTAGTTTAGTTTTTATGTTGTTTATGAATGACCGACCTACTATTTATTAGGTTAGTTGTGGTTATAATCTATAGATTTCAATCTCTCTTCTAAGTGTTCATTACGCTTTAGTTGTTTTTTTTTTTCTTTTAAAGTAAAGTGGCAAACTGTAAAGCTTCAGTTTAAATTTGCATTATTATATCTCCATGAGCTATATTGAATTGTTGTATAACATGATTAAAAGTAAGCTAGTATGCATGTTATAAATTAGTGCTTGTTCATAATAAGACCTGACCCCATAATTTTAGCAATACATGTACAAAGAAAAAGAGGTATTTTGTATTCCACCCTCCCATATTCTTGGACTCTTCAGAATGTCAAGTTTATCAAATTCCACATCCAAATCTCTCTGAAATGTCATTGAGTTTTGAAAGTTGAAATGCCCAAAATAATACAATTTTATGATCGAATTTAAATAGAGAATAGAAAAAAGATACCAATTTCATAGTCTCCCTGCACCTGCGGGTTTCTACCATCTTTTACGAGTTACCCAATTTCAACTCCAATTACAAGGACGAGAGTTAAGAACTTACAACGAGCTTTAGTCACTTATATTCAAACTATGATGAGCTTATTAAGAAATTTTAGAAGACGTTGGAGTCCTTCCCAACATGTCGTGCAAAGTTGAGCTTCATAATAATTTTGTGGGAGTTTTAATATGAGAGTTAACGTTATAGTGTAATCCACATAGGTTATCACATTTCATCGTTAACTAGTCATTTTAATATGGAGGTTATTTGTATATTTAACTCACATGTATTAAGATTGTCAAATGCTATATAAAACTTCTTTTCTTTCATGGCAAACATCACATTTTAGAATTGAAAATAATCGAGTTTTTATTTTAGTGTTGTAGAGAACTAAGTTTTTTTAGTATGCAAATTTTTGTGTTTAGAATTTGCCTCTTAAAGTCATTCAAGTGGTGTTGATCCAACCTTTTGTGGAGTGATATGAATCATGAGTTTAGAAACCAATTTTCTTTCTATTATTTTAATCATTAAGGTAATCCATTCCAAAACTTTTCATTGGGTTGGTTCTTATCGTTTATAGTTTCTTAGATAATTTAAATTTAAAGATCATGTTTTTCAACAAAGTTTTTAGTTCAAATCCCAAGACTTTCCTAACATCATGGTGTAAGTCACCCATCACAATTTTCTTAAGGTTGTAGGTGAGCTTAGCCATTGATTCCTCCTCCTGGGACCATCTAAGTCATTACACTATCTCATGCAAGTTGAGTTGCCCTCATCAGTCATGGGCTCTTGGGTCATGTTAGCAACCTTTTTGTCTCCTTAATAGGCTCTATATTTATCGCTAGCGGAAACTCCTCTAGTAATACCTAATAAGCTCTTATTCCTATGTTATTTCAGACTCTAAATAGTGTAAGACATATTTTTCTCCATGTAGAATTAGAGCTCCCTCAATAGTATCTTCTAGTGTGCCACAAGTCTTTAAATGAGTGATATCACATTCCTCTATACTAAGTAGTCTCTCACTAGTTGAGTAAGTTCATGATTAAGAGTTATTTCCTAACCATTCATACATAGTACTAGTCAATTAACACAATCATAAATGACCCTAAATGTGGCTAAAGGACTGAAGTATAGTGAACATTGTTGGATCGGTATGGCAACCCTAGAGGGGGAGGGGTGAATAGGGATTTAACGATAAAAGTGTTTAAATGTGATTAATTTTTCTAATGATGAAGCTTTTTACAAATAAGTAGAAGATGATAATATAGAACAAAATAATTATCAAAACAATAATCACAATAATCAATTAGAACCTGCAATAAATCACAATAATAATTTTGAAATTAAATAAGAAAGAGTTAGAAAAAATGACACCGTAGTTTTATTATAGTTCAGTCAAACTTGACCTACTTTACTCCCCAAGCGTCTCTTGTGAATTTGAATAAAGAACTTTCTCGACTCTTTCCACGGATTAGAGTCAAACTGCTACACCACTCTTTTTACGAGTTTAAGAGCAAACTCAATCCTTTCCACGACGCAGAATCAAACCGATACAAGTATTTGAATTTGATAGTAACACACCACAACTCTATCAAAGAGTAGATTTACAATTTGGAACACTCACAACTATTTCCTCTCAAGAATAAGATGAAGAGAAATAAACTTGTAATCTTGGAGAGAGCAACAAACAATGGAGATTTTGAGCGAGGATTGGAGAATTTATGGAAGTTGTGTGTTTAAGATGTGGGGAAGTTGATGAGTGTAATAGAGAAGAAAAAGTGGCAAAATGTAGGAATCAATATTGTCCATTAGATTGTGTTAGGAATAATGGAAGGTGGAGATTAAAAGTAAATAAATAAGAAAATTTTACAAATTCATTTATTTAATTTTTTTAATATAATAATAATATAATATAAAAATAATAAAAAACCATGTGAATAATGGTCACCCGATAAATTCAAAATTTATTATAAATATAATAATATAATAATAATAAAAAGTAAGTGAGTAAACACAAAAATTTTATAATATAATAATATAATAATATAATATAGTAATAATAAAAATCGATAAGAGTAACGGTTAGATTCAAATTTATATTATGTAAAAGTTATTTTTATTTAGAAATATAATAATAAAGAAACTCCACGATTTGTTATTCTTCTAAAATTATAAGTGTCATACTTTGATATATTTTGATTTTGCTGCCACATCATCATGTCGGGTATATTGTCTCTACTGCAATTTCTTCGTTTTAGCTCTGATTTGAGTAATTGAAAAGTCGTTAAAATCGTTATTCCCAACGTTATACTGTGTACAGTTCAAAATACTGAAAATAGATAATAATTAAAAGTAGGTTTGTTATCATCAAAACATCAATTAATTGATTGAAATGAATTAAAATGAGATCAAAGGTCAAAAAGCCTCCTCTTTTTGAGATGACGACAAACCATTTCAAGAAAAAAATTCATAAAAACAAAGTAATACAGTGTCCATGTAATTATATCAATACATGCAATATAAAAGCATATTCTTCCCCTATATTAATGCCTCAAGAAATTACGAAACATTCATAAATTATAAAACAACATACCTAAAGCATATTTTTCTTAATTTTCTCCCACAATCATAAAAAATAACAATTAAAAAATAATAAAGGAAGAATGACGAAGTGGCTCCCGAGACAACAATTATAAACGAAAATTATAAAATACAAGATATATCACAACCAATAATACCAAACCAAGCCTATTTTTGCAAAAATTTTCTTCATTCAACAGCTTGGTAAAAATATCTGCTAGTTGATTATTAGAGTTTACAAAATCAAGAATAATATGTCAATTTTGCACATGCTCTTGAATAAGATGATGTCTAATGTCAATATGTTTAGTTCTATAACGATGAATAGGATTTTTGGTTAAATTAATAGCACTCGTATTATCACAAAATATAGGCACACTATCAAATTTTAATCCAAAATCACAAAGAGTTTGTTTCATCCAAAGAATTTGAGCACAACAACTAGCAACAACTAGCAACCGCAATATATTTTGCTTCGTTAATATATAAGGCAACCGAATTTTGCTTTTTACTAAACCAAGAAACTAAGGAACTACCAAGAAATTGACAAGTTCCACTAGTACTTTTACGATCAAGTAAGCTTCCGGCAAAATCCGCATCAGAATATCCTACCAATTTAAATTCAACATTTATAGGATACCACAATCCTAAATCAATAGTTACAAGCAAATATTTAAATATTCTTTTAACGGCTTGTAAATAAGATTCCTTAGGACAAGATTGAAACCTAGCACCAAGACATACACTAAACATAATATCAGGTCTACTAGCAGTCAAAGTAAAGTAAAGATCCAATCATACCTCAATAAGTTTTAATATCCACACTTTTACCTTTTTCATCTTTGTCAAGCTTAGTGGATGTGCTCAGGGTAGTTTTTGCAATCTTACCATCATTGAACTTGAACCTTTTGAGCAAATCTGTATTTCTCTTGATTGATGAAGATACCATCCTTTAGTTGTTTGATTTAAAGTCCAAGAAAGAAACTAAGTTCTCCCATCATACTCATCTCAAACTCACTAGGCATACATTTAGAAAATTCTTCACATAAAGAAGATTAGTAGAACCAAATATGATATCATCCACATATATTTGCACTAATAACATATCGTTTTCTTAATCTTAATAAAGAGTGTAATGTCGAGTTTACCCATTTTAAAATCATTCCCGATAAAAAAATTACTAAGTCTATCATACCAAGCTCTTGGAGCTTGTTTTAAGCCATAAAAAACCTTTTTCAACTTATAGACATGATGAGAAAATTCAACATTTTCAAATCCGGGAGGTTGTTCTACATAAACTTCCTCTATAATATAACCATTCAAAAATGTATTTTTCACATCCATTTGATACCATACAAAATTTTTGTAAGAAGCAAAAACAAGTAACATTCTAATAGCTTCTAATCTAGCCACGAGTGTAAAAGTTTTCTCATAATCTATGCCTTCCTCTTGACAATAACCTGAGCTACAAATCTAGCTTTATTTCTAATGATATTCCCATTTTCATCCCTTTTATTTCTAAAAACCCAATTTATTCCAATAATAAAAGTATTAGAGAGCCTACGGACTAATTCCCAAACTTTGTTCCTTTCAAATTGATTTAGTTTTTCTTGGAGAGCTAAAATCCAAAATTATCATTTAGACTTTTTGGTTCAATTTGAGAAACAAAAGCAAGATTATTAAATAAATTAATAGAAGAACGAGTTTTCACATCTTGTTCGAGATCACCAAGAATCAAGTCCTTGGGATGAGATAAGACATACTTCTATTCTTTTGCCACTAATGAAGAACCTTCTTTCTTTAAGGTCACCTCTTCTTTACTCCAAACAATTTCTTTGCCTTTGTCACTAACAAGTAAATCTCCAAAATTTCTTTATAAATCATCCCTACAAATAGACCATTCATCAAATAACACCGACATAAATTCCTCAATAACTAAAGTTCACTTATTAAGAACTCTATATGCTTTACTCACATGAATAACCAAAAAAAATATCAATATCCGTTTTTGAATCAATTTTCCAAGCTT